TTGGGAGGCAGAGGCAGGAGGATTGTGACAAGTTAGAGGCCAGCCTGGGCTACACAGTGAGTTCAAGGCCAGCCTGCACAGCAAAGCGAGATCCTTTCTCAACCCCCCTCCCCTCAAAAAATAAAAAATAAAAAATAATAAAATCAGGGCAACCCACTTTCCAGTTACCCTTCTGTCTCTCATAGACAGAAGCTAGCTCAATAAATCTTCTTACTCTTAAAAAATAAAATAAAATAAAATTTCCTTGTATCTTGATGCTGTGACGAAGATGCTGTGAAGAAGAGCAGACATGCATACTTTGGTCATTGAAAGACCTATCACTCATAGTACTCAGCTTCTCTTATAAATTTGATTTCTGACCCAACATCTATTCTCGGTAGCCTGATAAACTTAAGTTTCCAAGTCCATGGAGTTGAAGACAAGTCCTGAATTGTGAAAACTACCTTAAAATCATGTACAACCAACCCCTGGAAGCCCATTTCCATTCTGGTGTCTCTTCTTCAAACTTCAGCCTTATACCTCTCTGTACACCAAGGCCTAGCAAAGGGCCTTACACATAATAGTTGCACGACACATACTAGTAGCCATCCCTGATGGTTAAGGTTTAGCACATCTGTAGTACTTGTTAGCAGAATGAGGTGATCTTTTCTTCAACTCAAGACCTCAGATCATCTTCCAGTTTTATTTCCTACTGTTCCCTACATTCCATTTCACTATTTTCTGAACACACCATTCCAGGTCTATTTTCTGAATACTCTATATTCTTTCTTTGCCTTTGCAAGTTTTAACTCTACTCTCTAGAACAGTGTGTGTGTGTGTGTGTGTGTGTGTGTGTGTGTGTGTTTCTGGGGATTGCAGCTAAGGCACGCTAAGTAAGTCTCTACCACTGTTCATTCATGACCAGTTTCGCATTTTGGAAAGATTAGTTACTGTAAGGAGGATGGATTCATCTGGAAAGGCAGAATGGAGGATGGGAGACTCTTGAGTCCTCTAGGTGAGATTAGGGGAGTAAGGTGGTGGTAATGGAGATATAGATTAATTCTAAAGTTAATTAAAAGGTCAAATTAGTAAAAGTTAAAGAGAGATGGGTGGTGGAAGGGGAGAGGATGAGTACAGGATTAACTCCTAGGCTCTTGGCTTGTGTAATAGGAATTGCTGAGGTCAGAGGACAAATATTATTAGCCTTGTTAATCTGAAACCACTACTTCCTTTCTTCTTTTAGGGGTTACCCCTTCCATTCTAAGGCTATTCTAGGATCTAACTACCTCACACCCCCGCCTGCCAATTGGCAGGTGAACCCTCCCTGCCATTCTCCAGGCCTGCAAATGACAAACTGAAGCTGAGGAGAAGGCTGAGGCAGGAGGATTGCAAGTTCAGTTGAGGAGCCTCTAAATTCGGGAATTAACTGTGTTCCAGCCACACCTAGTCTGACCACCTCAAAAGGTAGTAAGGCCTGAGTGAACAAATTGTTTTTTGTTGTTCTTCTTCTCAGGAGACTCAATTCAATTCCCTTCAGCTCTCTCTACCAGTTTGGAAGCAGTCGCTTGTCTCAGGCACTTGCTTTCTTTAAATGTCTGGAATGGCGTACCCAAAGCTTGGCCCGAATTAAGGACAGAGTCGGTAGTGCGCTCGGTGCAACCTCCAACAACTCCCGGGAAATAGGGAGGTCCAGGCCTTCCCACAATGCTGAGGGGCCCCGCTGTAGAGGACCCTGCCCTAGCCAGTCGCGAGACCTCGCGAGAACGCGGTATCGCCCGTTGCCGCCCAGACTCAGAGCGCCACGCCTTCTACTGCCTCAGAACGACCTCCTCCTACCGTTTTCCCCGCCTTCCACTCGCGCTCCGTTCTCGGATAGGCTATTTGAGCCGGGTCAGTTTTTTTCCCTTGCCAAAAAGCGGTTCGACAGCTAGTCTTTCTTTTGGCCCCGCCTCCAAACGCCTAGGATTGGACGGTTGAATCATGCGTCACGCGCCTCTTCGCACTAGGACGAGCCAATCAAGAGCTCGGCGTATTTTACGAATTGGGGAAGTAGCAGCCCCAGAAGCTCAGAAATTTGGGGAGAAATCGAAGAAAGTGGAAGCGACCGTGAAGGGTTTCCGGGACGGTGCGGCACAGGGATCCTGCAGGAAATGAGGCCTGCGGGAGCTCAGAGGGAGATGAGCAGTTAGGGGTCTCGGGGCGAAAGAGGAGGGTTGGGGTGTCTGGAGGGGGTAGCCAGATAGAGCGGCCTTTCAGGAGCTGGGGGCTTCTGGGCGCAAAGACTGGGGTGGAGGTGGAAGTATCAGGGATGTTAGGACCCGTGCCCCGAGAACTGGTTGACTTTGATCCCCTATCCTGCCGACTTTCTTCCCCGTCTCATTGTAGCCGCCATGACCACCATCCAGGCCACAAAGGATCCCCTCCTCCGGGGTGTATCCCCTACCCCCAGCAAGATCCCAGTACGCTGTCAGAGACGCCCGCCTTTCCCCACAGTCAAATCGAGCACCCAGGACCAGGAGAACCAAGATCCAAGGGTAAGAAGGGCCTGGTGGGTAGAGAGTACTTAACAGAAGGCAACACAGCAATGCACCCTGGCGCTGAATCCCAGCTTTTTCTTCTTGTTCAACCCCAGAGTTTGGTGCAGAAGCCTCCTCTCAGTATTCAGCATACCCTTGTTGACTCAGCAGGCGGCAGGTCCAAAGCCATACACCAAACAGAGAAATCACAAAAGTTGATGGCAATCACTCAGCTCCGGAACCCCCTGGAGGAGCTCAGGCCTAGCCATGTGGGACAAAATGTGGGACTTCGTCCCCCTCCCCAGACAGGTACCACTTGGATGCCTCCTTGGCTGAGTGGGAGTGAGAATGGCCCGCAGGGACTGAGGGTGCTTCACTTCCTTGGTCTTCTGCTTAGTATCAGAGTCCAGGGGCCCGGGATTTAGCTCAGTGGCACAGTGCCTGCCTGGCATGCCCGAGGTCCTGAGTTTGATCCCTGGTACCAAAAAAAAAAAAAAAGTCCTGGTAACTAGGTGTGATGGTGTGTGTTCACCTGCAATCCCAGTACTCTGGGAGTCTGAGGCAGGAGGATTGCAGGTTTAAGACCAGCCTGAACAATTTAGTGAGACCCTGTATCAAAAAATAAAAAGGTGGGCTGGGATGTAGCACAGCAGCACCTCGCAAGCTCAAGGTCCTGAGTTCAATCCCTGGTACCAAAAGAAAGGGGGGGGGGCGGCTAGGGATGTAGCTCAGTGTGAAGGGCCCTAGGTTCAATCTCCAGTACTGAAAAGTTAAAAAAAAAAAAAAAAAAATCCTGGTTCTGCTTCTGGAAAGCTATCCTTAGAAGCCAGCTTTCTCCTCTTCAACAAAATGTCATCCCTTCTGAAGGCTTTTCAGCCCTATGTTCTCCTAATTCTTTGCAGAACTTCTTTTATAATCTGTCCATACTTTGGCTTAAGTCTGTTACCTTTCAGTAGTTTAATAATAGGGGCTTTGTCTTCTTCATCATTGACCTTGAGCTTAGAGTAGTCTTATAAATTGGACACATGCCTCTAATCCCAGCTACTCAGGTGGTTGAGGCAGGAGAAGCACAAGTTCAAGGCCAGGCTAAGCTATTTAGTGAGGCCCTGTCTCAAAATAAAAAGTATGTGACAGGTCCTGGGTTTAGTCCCCTAGAAAGAAAGGAAGAAAAAAAAAAGAAAAAGAAGGAGCTAGGCATGGTGGCATATGCCTATAATCCTAGCTCTCCTGAGGCTGAGGCAGGAGGATCACTGCAAGTTCAAGGCCAGCCTGGGCTACATAGTGAGACCTTGTCTCAAAAAAAATAAATAAACAAAAACAGGAAGGAAGGTATCCTACCTAAAGTTCTGTAAACATCTGGTGAGCTGGAGAGACCAATTAAATGTCTTTTTTGCTCACTTCTGCCCCTCAGGGTGACTGTGCCAGTGTCCCTGGCCCCTTAGCCTCCCGCTTCCTGTTCCTACTCACTTCTTCTTCTTTAACCTTGCAGAAGCTCCAGGGGCTATAGAGTTTGTGGCTGACCCTGCAGCCCTGGCCACCATCCTGTCAGGTGAGGGGGTGAAGAGCTATCCAATGGGGCGCCAGTCCAGCCTGGCTCAGAGAGTACTGGTTCGAGGGAACCAGGGAGGTACCGTCCGGAGGGGCCAGGTAATGAGACCAGATGTGAGGTCAGGCTGGAGAGGGCTGAAGAGAGAATCCTGAGCTCATGCTAATAACCTCGGTTGGGGTTCCAGGGTGCTTGGGCCTCTGTGTATGTGGCCCCCAGAACCCCCATCCACCAACTAGGCCCTGCCAGGGCTTCCTGCTTCTCAAGGCTGGAGGGATCGGGACCCCGAGGTCAGACTTTCTGTCCCCAGATGAGGCTCGAGGCGCAGGTAAGTGCACTGGAGGGGCTGATGTTCTGTGCTTCTGGGAGCTTCCTTCCAGGGACAGTGCTGGGACCTGGGAGCCAAGGGGTCCTACTCGGGGGATGGAGTTGGTGGCAAAGCCCGAAGGTTTGGGGCCCACCTTTGACTCTGCTTTTCTCACTTGCTCCTATGGATCAGGTTCCATCTTCAAGATCTTCCTTTCACCCCTCCACCCGCCCTAGTTTACAGGACCTCAGAAGAGAGATAGGTGGCAGCAACCGGTAAGGAGAGGATGTGAAGAAGGTCATGTGAAAAAAAATGAACCAGTGTTCGAGACCCAGGTCCCCCGGATCTAGGGCCTTCTGGTAGCTTTAGGACTCCCCAAAGAGTCCTGTGGCTGCCCAGGGTGAGCCCTTGGAATATGGTTCAGACCTTCACAGTCAGGCTTGAGTGTGACATGAAAAAAGATAGAAAGGTGAGGTGCTATTTCTTTCAACTACAACATAGACTGTGGCAATAAATGGGATTTAGATTTAACTCCTGACCCTTACGAGTACTAGCTGTGCAGGCTCGTCCTAACCTCTCTGAGCTTTGGTCCCTTTATCTGTGAAATGGGAAGAATGTTTGTACCGTCATTAAAGGTTGCTGTGAGAGTGAAGTGAAATGATGTATGTACATCACTCAGCACATGCCCATTTCATGGTTGGTACTCAGTGACTTCTGTGGTTCTTACTGTCATTAGGACTTCAGTGAGCCAGGCCTCAGGATTGCACCTGGAAACCCCTGTGCAGCCTGGTGAGTTTCCCCTGCAGCAAGAAACAGGATGAAAAGCACAGCAGGCTTTGGAGGGTAGGGGTTGGGTGAGGAAATGGGGAGGCAGTGAGGCTAGATCAGCAGGAGCAGGAGGGCTGGAAGCATTGGTAGAACACTTGTCCAGCATTTGAAGTGCCCTGGGTTTCACCCCAGTGCTGCAAAATGAATGTATGAGTGGGAAAAGAGCTAGGCATGGTGGTACACACCTGTAATCGCAGCACTTGGGAAGCTGAGGGAGGAAGATCACTTCAGATTTGAGGCTATCGTGAACTGCATAGCAAGACCCTGTCTCAAAACAAAAACAGATCCAGGGATTTAGCTCAGTGGCACTGTGCCTACCTTTCAAGCGCAAGGTCCTGAGTTCGATCCCTGGTACCAAAAAAAAAGGGTAGGAGGGAGAAGGATGACAGAAAGAGATCTTCTGGCTTTTGGATAGGCCAGAGGTTGGCCAGTTGTACTTGTGTCCCCATTTTTGCCCTCTCCCTGCCACTTCTGCAAGATTGACCTTTCATTTACTGTCCTGTCCCCAGCTCACTCATGATGCTCAGATTGATGAGGATTTACTGAGGTTGTGTTGACTCTTGGGATACTCAATGGGTCCCTGCCTCTGGTGGGCAATGGGGACTCTTAAACTGGTGTACCTTTTTCAGAAGTTGCAAAGCCCTGTGCCAGACTTTTGTGGGTCTTCTTGATACTACAGCAGATTTCCTATCTCCTAGCTTCTCTCCTTGAAGAACATGAAAGTGTCCCTCATTCAGATGAAGGAGGAGGGGCCCTCCTAGGTCTGGCCCAGCGAGTACCTGTAAGAGAAACCAGAGAGAGAATACACACTGGGGTGAGAAGGGACCCTCCTGGTATGGGGATGGGGACACAGAAGATGCTTAGGGGGATTTAGAATTGGGAGTGAAGCCAGGCAGGCCTGGTCCTCAGGATGTTATGGCATCTGGGTTTGCCACATGTAGGCCGAAGCCCTCTGCAAAGTTGGGTCTGGGGCCTGGAGGGAGAGGTCACAGATTGGCATATATTTTATCACCATCAGATCAGTCCCAGGGCTAAGACAGATCTGATACTTGCCAACCAAAAATATTCATCAGTGGGCCAGGGATTTAGCTCAGTGGTTCCGGCGCCTGCCTCGCAAGCACAAGGTCGCGAGTTCGATCCCTGGTACCAAAAAAAAAACCAAAACAAAAAATATTCATCACTTCATTCCAAAAATAGTTAACAGCTACTGAGTGAAGGTACTATTCTAGGCTCTGGACATAAATACTCTAGAAAGGGAGACAAAAACACGTGTGAAATATATATGCTCTCAGATGGCACTGAAGGGGACTGGAGAGTGGCAGAGTTGTTATCACAGTGTAATGTTGCTTGGGCAGGGGGCTCACTGAGAGATGACGTTTAAGTGAAGACCAGGAGTTGAGGGCCTAAGCCATGCATTTATCTAGAAGAGAGCATTCTAGGCCAAGAAAGCTGCAGATGCAAAGGCCTGAGGAGAGAATGTGCCCAGTGTGTTTGTGGTTCAGCAAGAGAGAGAGGCTAGTGAGACTGAAGCTGAGTGAGGAGGAGAACAGTAAGAGAAAAGCTTACAGTAATGACAGAATCAGAGTAGGTAAGGATTTAAACCTGTGTAAATCCTTAGGTTATTTTGTTTTGATTTTGGCTTGGAATGAGTAGGAAGCCAAGAGAGGGAATGAATAAAGGAAGTGACATGATTTGGCTGTGACAGTGTGGGCCCCACAGGAAGGGGAATGAGATCGCTCTTGCCACCTTCTCCTTCTCCACAGGATGCCCAGGACTCCCACCTGATGCCCTCCCCTGCCCCTGAGGCCCAGCGCGTGCGTGGCCGCGTGGTACCACCTTCTGTCACTCACCCATCGCCCTTTGGACGGGCTCAGCGTGTACACTCCCCTGGCTTCCCTGCTCTGGTTTGTTTCAAAAACTCCTGGGGCCTGGGCAAGAACAGAATAATCTGGCTGGAGAACCCTGCCAGGCCTGGGGTTTGTTCCTGCTCAGCACCCACATCTCTCCCCAGACTTCATATTCATTGTTGCGGCGTCTCGGCATTCAACCCAAAACCCAGTTTACTCCATCCACCCCCAGAGTTCAGCAGGTAAGAAAAGTCAAGGGGGGCCGGGGATTTAGCTCAGTGGTTCCAGCGCCTGCCTCGAAAGGGCAAGGTCCCAAGTTCGATCCCTGGTACCAAAAAAAAAAAAAAAAGTCAAGGGAGGTAGCTGGCCTGGGCCGACTGAGGAGAGGAAGGAGACAGATGGGTACAGGGAGAGTTAAGACAGGCAAGGGGAAAAAAAAGACAGGCAAGGGGAGACTGAATCTATCTGTGGGTTACTGGGCCTTCCTGACACCTCATTTCTGTCACAGGCTCAGTGGTTGAGTGGCCTCACCCCTCAGTCCTGCACTGAAGAGCCTGCTCTGCCTTGGGTAAGTATGAGAAGCTTGTCTGTGTTGAGGTCCTTTGTGCTGTCCCCTTGGCATGGAGTCCTAGATGTTTGAAGTGAAGCAGGTGTGTTCTCTGAAGAAACCACCTACCTCTCCATCTCTCAATACTTCTGTGCTGCCCTTCTACTCATTTTTTTTTTTTTGGTACCGGGGATCAAACTCGGGTCCTTGCACTTTCAAGGCAGGCGACAGAACCACTGAGCTAAATCTCCAGTCCCCTGCCATTCTACTCTTAAGTCCAGGGCCTCTCAATTAGAGACTCAAACTGGTCTTCTTGGCCCAGCCTGGCTACCTCACCCGCCTTCTTTCCATCTATGTGGCAGGAGCAGATTGCCGTACGGTTGTTTGACCAGGACAGTGGTGTACGGTTGCAGGAGCAGCCTGGGAAACCAGCTGTGGCAAGTCCTGGATCTCACCCCTACAGAACCTTCAACTTCCAGGAGCTAAAAATGCAGGTGGACTTGTGTGAACAAGGCCTTGATGCCTGCTGGGCAGTGACAGGGCTGGGGAAGGGGGAGCTGGGAGGGGAGAGGGACCCACATCCTGACATGACTGTGGGCACTCTCTCCCACTGTAGCGCATCAGTATCCTGCAGCAGTTACTGCGCCAGGAGGTGGAAGGGCTGGCAGTGGGCAAGTATGCCCCACCTAATGGAGACTCCTCTCTGGATATGGTTGAATTTCATCCCCTGCTGGCTGAAATTTCTAGGACTCTAAAAGCCCCAGGGCATAATTCTGGGACTTCCTATCTTCCAGGACTGTCACAACACCCTGAGCTGCCAGAGCCCTGCCCTCCGGAGGAGTGTGAGGAACCACCGCCCTGCTTTGGGGCAGAGCCAGAGGTGACACAACCCTGCCCACCAGCAGAGACAGGGCCTCCAGAGTCCTGCTCTAAGGCCAGGCCAGGGATACCGGCGCCCTCCTCCCGGGAGCAGCCTGAGGTAGCAGAGCCCTGCCCACCAGCAGAGTCTGGACTCCTTCAACCTAGGCCCCAGGGACAGACTGCATCCAAAAAGGCCTGTCCTAGGATAGAGTTGCGGGCATCAGAGGCCCACTCCCTGGAACCAAAAAGCCTAGAGTCCAGCCCATGGCGCTGCTGCAGTCAGGGGGCTCCAGCAACCACCAGCCCACCTATCTGCTCACTTCAGTCTCCGAGGCCCCCAACAGGCCAAGCAGGTAAGGAGTTGCCTGGGAAGGGATTGAGCCAAGGAGATCCTATCTCTGGGAGTGGGGCCCTGACCTGCACCAAATGTTGCTATGCTTTCTTCCCTCTGCTGTCCCCTCTGTCCCAGCCTGGCTACCCTCAGGATGAAGGGATGAGCTCCTTCTCTATCCCTGGGCTCCTCACTGGCTTGGCTCTTGAGGGAGGGGAAGGGACCATACATGATGAGAGTACGGGACTCCAGTCTACCCTCGAAACTCTGTGGCCCTCAGGTCCCGGCCAGCTGGCCCCTCGAACCCTGGCCCTGAGGCAGCGCCTCAAAGCATGTCTCACTGCTATCCACTGCTCCCATGAGGCTCGTCTGGATGACGAGTGTGCCTTTTACACCAGCCGAGTCCCTCCTCCAGGGCCCACCCGGGTCTGCACCAACCCTGTGGCCACAGTGCTTGAATGGCAAGATGCCCTGGTGAGCCTCCAGTCCAGGCAGGGGTGGTGGCAGGGGCCAGCCTCCATTTCTTTACTGAAAAGCAGTGGGAATATGACAAGATCTCTTTCTTCTTCTAGTGTTTCATTCCAGTTGGTTCTGCGGCACCTCAGAGCTCTCCATACTGAGGCTCCCACCTCAACCCTCTCCACCTTACCCTTTCCCATTATCCCTTATTTATTGTTGGTCTGCCCATGGGACTGGGGGCCAACACTCTTTTATCTTTTAATAAAGTTTCTACAGTGTCTGAATAGCCAGCAAGTGAACTTGAAGTATCCAAATTGGGCAGCCACTGGTTGCTCTCCAGTTGCCCACATGGTGGCAATGTGCTCCAGCTCAGAGGCTTCCCAGGGCTCCAAATCACCCCCCAGGCTCCAGGAGAAGCTGTCTTGCCCTGCCCACTTTAGGCAATCTCCGAGTGGGTTGGGGTCAATTATGGGGTCTCTGCTTCTCCCTGAGACTTAAGATCAGTTCCAGGGACCATGAGCTACTCCCTCATCCCCTAAGCACCTTTGCTAGAACTCTCAACCGGCATGATGGTGCACACCTGTAGTCCCAGCCACCCAGCAGTGGGAGGATCATTTGAGCCCAGGAGTTAACCCAGCCTGGGTAATATAGTAAAACCCCATCTCAAAAACAAAAAACACCCAGCTCTGCTACAACCCTCTCCCTGCACTAGGCAGAATGGCAGAGCCCAGAGTCAAACCTCTGGAATCCTCCCTTATTAGTGTCACTGGACGGCATCCCCCTCGGCCTACAGAGGGAGGGCCCGCAATTCTCCTGGAGCTGATACTTCTTCCTTCCCGTAGCAGAGAAGCCTAAGCTGCCCCCCCCCACCACCTTGCCAGTTATAACTAATAAGCCTTTGACTTTGTCAGAGATTGACAGGCAGGATGGGAGTCCTTTCTGGAGATCAAAGAAAGGGCTGCCATTTCCCCCCATTCCATGCACCAAGTTAAAGCAGCCACACACGATCCCCCAACCTCATTTTATTGGAAGAGACAACAGCAGCTATAGCCCTGAGGCCTAGGCCCGAGAGAGTGGAATGGCGACTGTACAGAATGAATTTAAATGCTAGGAATGAATTCACCAGTACCTCCAGTTCACAGGAAGGCTGCCAACGCTGGAGCCTAGAGCCTGAAAATGGAGATGAAGGAGGAAGGGATGGCGAGAGAAAATTGTCATAAGCGAGGACCAGTGCCTATACCAACCTAGCGTCTCTTCTCGCCTACACACTGGCTCCTAGTTTTTGTTCTTTGCCTCCTATGCCACCATGGCTTCCCTTCTGGTTTCTGGGCCTCTGAGGCCTGGCTGGTCAAGCTGCTCCCCAGCTCCAGGCAGAGGAGCGGATCACGATCTTGGACCCATTCTGGTCAAGCTTTCCCGCACAGCTGGTGGATGCGGCCGGTCCCTCCCTCAGCGCCCCGCTCCTCCTCCCGCCGGCCCCCTCGAGCCCCAAGAGTCCGCCCTTTGGCTGCCTCAGAGTGGGAGGGTCCGCCCCAGGTTACTAAAGGATGGGGTGGCGCCTTGGGCGGGGCCCGCAGGAAAGGAGTGAGGACTGGAGCGAAAGGGGAGCGAAGGTGCGGAGATGATGCCCAGCTCAGTCCGGGTAGATGATGAAGCCCGAGAAGGTGCTGTACTTGTTGGTGTTGCCGCCGTGCACCTTCCCGCCGTCGAGCTTGATGAAAACCTCGTCGCCCACATCAAGGTGTAGAATGACGCTGTTGCTGGCGTAGTCGTAATTCTGGTCCGCATCCTGAGCAATGGCGCTGGCCCGAACCTAGTGAGGGAGTAGACGAAAGTGGAGCTGGGATGACCAGGGAGATGAGCGGAGAAGGTGGTACTAGAGGGATCAGGGTGTGGTCTGGGAAAGGCAAGATGAAGCTAGTAGATGCTGAGCGGCTCTGGCTGTGCCGTGCACTAGCTGTGCAGCTTGGGGCACACATCAGGGCCCCAATCTGAGCGATAAAATAGGGGGTAATAATAGAACTTACCTCCTGAAGTTGTTAGGATTAAATGGGTTGCTACAAGTGGGGTGCGTTCAGAACAGTGGCTGTTATAGAGCCATTGTTACTGTTAGTGCTATCATTATTCTCATTTTAAAAATAAAATTAGAGCTGGGCGTGGTGGTGCAGACCTGTAGTCCCAGCACTCCAGATGCTGAGGCAGGAGGGTCACTGTGAGTTTGAGGTCAGCCTGGGCTACATAGTTCAAGACCAGCCTGGACTATATAGCAAGACTTTGTTGCCAAAAGCTAAAATAAAATAAAACAAGAAGCCTGTGGGATAATTTTTAAGATTCTGTGCCCACTGGGCCCTCTGGTGAGTCCTAAACTTGTGCTGGGTCATAGGTAAATCCGAGTGTGTGCCACAGCATGCTGGCACCATTGCTCTGGCCTCTGGGGTGCCCATTTCCCAGTGGAGCAGCAGCTGGTGCCCAACACATTCTGCCAAAACGAGGAGCCCTGTCTCCCCTCTCTGGCCTCAGGCTATTGCCTCAGGCTGTTAGCCCCCTCTTCAGCCCCCCTCTTCCTGTCCCACTGGGGCTGGTTATTAACTCATTAATTATTCATCATTATTCTAATCATTATTTACCATCCCCAGGGCCGCAGCAGTGCCCACAGGGTGGACAGAATACAGAGTAGGAACGGCACAGCCCCCACCCCCTCCAAAACCAACACACTCGAAATACATACTTGTCCCTGGGCCTCCTCCCAGACACCCTGCATAAACCAAGCATGCCTGCTCAGTGCCACATGCCCATCTACACCACCACTGTACTTTCACCTTCGCCGTCCCCACCGACAGACACTCAAATCACACACACTCACACTTCCTTACACACACACACACACACACACACTATCTCACCCCCATATGGACACCCAGGAACTCTCACTTGCTTCCTTCTGGTGCTGTTGGGAGACCCCAAAGCAGGTGCAGGAGGTGGGCCTGCAGCTGAGGTGTCCCCCTTAATGCGGAAGGGTGCTGCGGCAAAGCTGGCTTAGACAGAACTCCAAAGAATAGCCCGGAGGTACCCAGGTCACACCTCCCTCCATCCATCCCCTACTCCCTCATGTGGGGCATTCAGGGGTCACTGCTCAGCTCCAACCCCATTTGGCCTACATCACCCAGGCAGCCACCTCCGCCCTAGCCAAAAGCCTCACCCAGCAGCTCTGTGTGTCTGCAGCTGAGTCCTTGGGACTATACCCCAAAAGAGGGAAAAATGACTGTCTGGAGGGGCAGCAAGCAGGAGAACCTGGAGGCTGGGAGATTGCTAAGGAAGAATGTGAGGACTACTACGGACCAGGCCAGAATCAAAGATCTTGATCCTCCCTGTTCCTTGCCTCATTCTTCCTCCAAATCCATTTCTTCCACCTCCTAGATGGCCCCTGAACTGTCAGACCATTTCCCATCCCTGCCTACAAGATTCAGTCTTGTCAGAGGGCAAGGAATGGTCTAGTATTGGCCCCATGATGATCTGGGGTGAATGATAGGATCACTGCCTACCAAGTGGGCAAGCATTTTCTATTTTTACCTTTTCCTTAAAAATCCAAGCTCAATGCCCCCACATGGGTTATGCCTACTGACTGCTGATTGCCTGAGAAATGTGTTACATTCTGATTCCAAAAAGCCAGATAGATTCCAGGTAGCTTACCGCACACCAGGGATGGGAAACCCAAAGGACAGGGAGGGTGTCCACACACATACATGGGAGCTCAGGATAGGAGGAGAAAGGGGGCTGGGTAAACGGTAGTACAACACAATTGCCTAAAGTTGTAACGTGAGGTCGAAGCTGCCCAGACACTAAGCTTAAGTCATGAGTTCTAAATCAGATACCATTCCTAATGCTCTGTGAGACCCTGGGCAGGTGATCTTTCTCTGGCCCCTAATTTCAGTTGGCTAAATGAAATTATTTATTTGTTCTTTGCAGTCTTTCGCTCCTGGATTCACTGACGCTGTTTCAGGGGAGGAGCTGGGGTTGTGGAATGAGTGCGGGATTTGGGGCTAGGTGGGAGAGGGACATCTCACCTGTCCATTCTTCATCAAATCTGCCCACATGCTGGTACCGTCGCCGCCGCGCATGAGCACATGGTAAGCGAAGAAGTAGACGCCCGGCATGGGGCAGGTGAACTTGCCACTGGCCGCCTCGTAAGCATTGCCCACGTTGGTCACCACGTCGTCGAAGCGAAGCACCTCGTAACCCTCGTGAGGCCGCCGCAGGCCCGCGTAGAAGGCAATTCGAGGCATGTAGCCGGCAGGGGGCGCTGCCCCTCCCGGGCCTGGGCCAGGCGGGCCAGGAGGACCTGGCCGGCCTGGCTCTCCCGGGGGCCCTCTGGGACCTGGGGGTCCCGGAGGTCCCCGCAGGCCTGCCTTTCCGCGCCGGCCCACCTCTCCCTTGGCACCTGGCGGGAAAGGGGGCACGGAAGCGGGCGCGCCGTCGGGGCCCGGACCTCGGGCCCCGTGTGGATCACACACCATGCGGCAGCGGCCCAGCATCTCATAGTGCGCCGGCTCGCGCGAGCTGTGCACCAGCAGTGGGATGGCCACCAGCAGCAGTAGCACCATGGCCACCCCGACGGCCGCGCCTGCCACCCGCTTGCGGCGGCTCAGCCGCGACGCGGCCAGGGCCAGCAAATCCTCTTCACTTTTGGGCGCAATGGCGGCGGGGCCTGGGGCTCTCCGCGGGCCCAGAAGGCAGTGGCCGGGCTCCGGCCTGGGTCTGGGTCCCCCCGACGGCGGCGCCTGGCCCCCTGCCCCTGGGGGCTCCCGCCGCAGCGGCGCCGTTCCCCGACCCGCCTGTCTAGGGGGAGGTCCGTCCCCCCGCGGGCTGGGCCAGCGGCACCTTCTGCCGGCTCAGAACCCTTGATCCTGTTACCCTTCCGTGCAGTCCTAAGGGTCCTGGGCGCCTGGGATCGCGGCTTCTTGGACGGCTGGTTTCTTACAGGTCTTGGATACCTGCTCTCCAAGCATCTGCTTTCTCACGGATGGCGGTGCCAAGGTCCCAGGCTACACACACTGACCCGGCAGGAATGGGGACTCCTCGCGCTCTGGACGTCCCAGGCTCTGAGCTGCGGGTGGTGCCCCCTAGACGCGACCTCCTTGGGGGTGGTGCGCTCTAGCTCTTGGGGAGCCCTGACCCGCCTTCCTCCCTCAGCCGCGGCCACAGCCCTTGCGGGAGCCTTGGCCCGGCGTCTGTCTCCTGAAAGCGCTTTCCTTCTCCGAGTCCCTACCCTTCCTCCCCTTCCTCCCGGGCCGGCAGTGCGGGTGGTGTGAGTCGCGGCGCGGCGGGAGCCACTATAAGCGGCCGAAGGCGGAGCGACCCCTGGCGCCCAGATGCGGGAACGCGGGGGCGAGGCGGGCATCGCCCGCCCGCCCCCCCCCCCCCCCCCCCCCCCCCGGGTTCCCGGCCTCTGGGTTCTTTGCTGCCTCTGAAGGTTCTGCAGGGACTCGCTGCTCCCACCCTATTCTTACTATCAATCTCTACCCGAAGTTTGGCATTCTCCGAGCCCAGAGGAAGCCAGAATCAGCGATAGGATAAACCAGGGTGAAGATACAAAGCGAGAAGATAGAGATGAATTGCCGAGCTAAAGGTGGGAGGGGGGGTCATAAACAGAAAACAAAACAAGAAGGGAGAGAAAAGATAGAAATTCGCCCCTCCGCGACCCAACAGAACGCTGAATAACATATGGTGAAAGGTGTAACGGATACTTGTTGGCCTGAACTGGAAAAGGCACATTTCCTGCCCCCAACCCCAGCCCCTAGGTTTGGGGGTGCAAAGAGGTGGGGGGGGGTGTGCGTGCGTGTCTGTGTGTGTTTGTGGAGAGAGAGAGAGAGAGAGACCGACCAGCCTCGGGGAGCAAGCAAGAAACCAACAGAAAAGCAGAGAAGGAGCGACAGAGAAATCAAAGAGACAGCCGGATAGAGAGACGCAGAGACAGAGACAAAGCTGCGAGAAGAGACTAACTGACAGCCCCAGAGCGGGAGAGGGAGAGACAGAGACGGAAAGAGAGAGACTGGAGCTGAGACAGGTTGACAGATCCAGAGAGAAATGTAAATGGCGCGCTGCAGAGAGACACCCAGGTCCGTGTTCGGACTCCAATGTGACATATCAACTATCGGGAAGAGGGGGCGGGGCGGTTCTGCCAGCAGAGTGGTAGGGACTGGGCCTGTGCACTGTGACAGTGTGCTGGAAAGTGTGGAGGTGGCCACAGGATCCTGGCCTTGTGTGTCCTTGGGTGAGTGGGATTGTGGATTGTGCTGTTTCTGTAAATGTTTGTGTGCGTGTGAGGGCTGTTTGAAGAGAGATATTTGAATTTATCTTCCTCTAAATCCCTAAATTTGGGAAAGCAAATGCCATCTCTCCTATGTGAGGACTGAAGAGTTCGGCGGGGGGAGTCTGAAGGCAGCTGTAGTCTCACTTGCCTAGCCCTTCTCAGCCCAACCTTCCCCCTGCCTTAGTCCCTTTCTGCCTCAGAAGTCTGCCCAGTCCACCTCCCTCGAGTGTCTGCTCTTAGACAAAACCCAGAAAAGTTACACCCCACCTAATGGGCGTTTGGTTAATTATGCAAATTGATACAACTGAAATGCAGATTAGGTGCTAAGCACCTTTCTGTCACTGTCTGCTTTCTGGGTGACCAAGAAGGAATGCCAGCTTTGATTTATCAGGGACTGGGTAGAAAACTATTGGCTGCACCCTTCTCTAGCACCCAGGCCAGAGGCTTGGAGAAGGAAGGGGCTCTAGACTGGCAAAAGTGGAGCTGTTTGGAGACCCTAGAGGTTGGCAAGAGCAAAAGCCTCTGAATGACTAGGGTAAGCTAGGAGTGTGATGTGCAGAATATGTTGTGTAAAACAGAGCACGAGGCACACCAGGGTGTGGTTGTTGGGTAGAAAATGATTTTCTCATTCTTTACTGCTTCCCTGCACTCTGTCCCCATAATGATTTGGGGAGACTGAGCTTGCTGAGGCTGGATCTGTGTCTGGGTTAGAAGAGGTCCCTAGGGGGCTGAAGGGATTGGGAGAGAAAGGGTTGGCAGCCAGTGGGGGAGGGGCCTCCTGCTCCAACCCTAAATATAAATTCTATTCAAGGCCTTTGTTGCCATTTGTCTGGGGGGGGGGGCTGAGGGCCACGTCAGCCCCATGCATGTCTAATTCCAAATCTGCTCCCCCAGGCTGGATGATGGATGGATTAGAGCAGGCCTGGCTCACTCCAGCCTCCTCTACCCGAGCCCCAGGCCCCATCCACCCCAAGTCCAACCACTGCTCTTTTTCCTCCTTCCCCCTGCCCTGCTCCACTCAGTAGAAGCCCTTGCTCCCCAGCCCTGCTCCCCATCCCCCTCATCCCACTCCCCACCATCCCTTTTTGAGCCCCTCACCTCAGCCCCTTCCAGGTACCAGGTCTCTTCTCTAGGCTTGAGCTTCCCCTCTGCTCCCATGCCCAGCCCAGGCTGTGAGCTGTGGTGACCAGCAGGGCTGCCAGTGGCCGCAGCAGCGGCATGTGTGGTGGGGGGAGCAGGCTTGGCTCACAGGGAGCCGAGGGGCCAGCTCCATGAATTTATTCATGTTCTGTTGCTCTTTCCCCACGCTCTGGAATGAAGCTGCCAGCTCACCAGGTCCTTATTGCTTCCTCTGCAGCTGTCACATTCATCTGAGGAGGGACCTGGGTAAGGCTAAGACCAGCCTGTGCTCCAGAGGCTAGAAGCCAAGAAGGAATGCTGGGGCCCAAGCTGGGGTCCTGGACAATTTGCCCAGAGCTCTTCTGGTAGCCAAACTGGGAGCCTTGGGTTGGTGGTGTGCTTAGAAATAGAAGTAGGTAGAGAATGGTGTGCTGCAGGACAAGAAGGCCATGGATGCCGAAAAATAAAATAAAAAAGAGGCCTCGGACCTAAGGGCAATGTTGGTAGGAGGAGGGGATAACCGAAGAGCACTTTAACAGTCTCCTAGGTGCTTCTGTTTGAAAGCACACCTAGTCTGAATCCTGTATTAATCTCTCCCTTGATTAAGTATGAACTCTGACCCTAATCTCAAAGGATATAGCACACTTCTCTCCAATCCTAAAATGAATTTTAGCTCCATGACCTGACCCTAGGTGGAATGCATCCCCACCTGTCCCAGAACACAGGGTCTTCCCAGAATTTCTCCCAGGGCTATAGCCAGGTGTGTGTCAGAGTTCTGAGGACCAGACTTTTGATTAGCATGTGATTTACATATGATTTGCATGTGATATGTGCCTTCTACTCTGCAGAAGTTTTCATGTTAAAATTTTATGAAGTCTAGCGGAAAGGTCCTAGGTCCTTGAAGGTTCTTTTTTGTTCCTTCTCACTTTTTTTCTTTTTTGAGACAAGGCCTTGTTATATGACTTTTTTTTTGAGACAAGGTCTCTCTGTATAGTTCTGGCTGGCCTTGAACTCACTATGTAGCTTGAACTCACTATGTAGCTGGCCTCACACTTGTGGAGATCCTCCTGTCTCAGCCTCCTGAGTGCTGGGATTACAGGTATGCACCACCACACCTGTCATGGGTCTTGTTATATAGTTCAGACTGGCCTTGAACTATGTAACCCAGGCTGATTCACAGCAATCCTCCTGCCTCAGCCTCCTGAAGGAGTACTGAGATTACAGGCTCACCTCTCTTACACTTTTTTTGATTGGATTGACCCAGACCCCCTCAAGGAAAGAAAGGAGAGGAGAAGATAAGCAATAGAGAGCTCTTGGAAGGGAAGATTCTGGTAGTGTGATCTGCCTCCATTACTTGCACAAGCCTTAGTTTCCTCATCTATAAGAAGAGAAGAACCAGCTGGCTGGTGTTCCATGAAGATCCAAGGAAGCACTCTTTCACCCCTGTACTCTCTCTTTCCTCCTCCAGAGCAAGCCCTAATCCTCCTATACTCTGGCTTTCACTTCCTTACTGGAGGTTACATACAGCGGGAAGGAAAGCAGCCTGGGTTACCTGGTACCGGAGAAGGGAACTTGGTCCATTTGAGAGGCCAGCGGATTGCATCGGAAGGGAAATAACAGTATCGAGTATTGTATTGTAGGGCTTTTAACATGCATTTTTATAACACTCCTGAGAGGTAAACATGTTGTTCCCATTTCATAGATAAGGAAACTGGGGCCTAGAAAGGGGAAATGTCTTGTCCAGTCTCACCCCATAAGGGACAATTCTAGAATTGGAGTTATGATAGCTTGGATTCTTTCCCAAAGCTCTGGAAAAGAGTCAAATGGTGCCTGAGGCATTGGGCAGGAGAAAGCTGAACAGGAGTGTGAAGTGAGATTTGATGGGGTCTCAGAGGAAATCTCTCTATATATGAAGCCAACTGGGCAGGGTCCTGGCCCCCTGTGTCTGCTAACCCACTCAATGCTGTCAACTCTGACATCTAACATGCCTCAATTGCTGACTGAAGGAAGGCCAAAGTTAGTTAGCTACAGAGAACTGTTCAGTTGGATGAGGAGAAAGAAGCACAGGATGCAGAGAGAACAGAAAATGAAGTGAGCTAGAGGAAAATTGTCTCAAGGGGCTGACATCGGTTGTCCTTTTCTCACCCTGAGAGGAGCAACAATGGTGGCCCAAGAACCTCTGCACACTTGGCCTCCTTGTGGAGTTTAGGAGGCTCCACCTTAGGGGCCGAGCCAGTGTGCAATCCCAGGCCTAGGGCCTCCCACTCCTCAGTCAGTGCCGCTGGTCCCGCAGCTGCTGGCAGTCTTGGGTTCAAAGGGTTGCATCAGGGCCCATGGGGCTAAGAACGGGTTCCCAGCACCCCAGAGAGTGCGTGGAGATTGTCTCCAAGGGGCCTGTCGGGCCAGAGAGCGCTGATTTCCACCGGCTTTGGCTTCTGGTCCTCACCTACTTCTCAGCTTCCCTTTGTCCCGCCCCGCCTCGTCCCACTGCCCTCGCACTCCAGCCTCTGGAGTAATGAAATGTGGCTACTGGCTGCATAGACAGCTGTCAGAACCCTCATTTCTCCGCAGGGATATTGCAGGCCGCGCTGGGAGACGCACAGGGGAGGGGAGGGAGGTACGGCGGCGGCCGGCGGCGAGCCGAGGGAGGGGCGCGGGCTGGTGAGGACCAGGAGCCCAGGAGGTAGTGCCAAGCTCCAAGTTTCCAGGGTTTGGCTAAGTGAGATAAGCCCTAGGATGCTCTTTCTGCCTGGGGGCCCCTAGTGTTTTACCCTGCTCTGACAAGCAGCAGACACAACGGCCCCACAGCCACCGCCTGCCGATAAGACTTGACCCCGCACTCCCGTCCCGCACCCTGGGTGGGCTTCAGTGCGCACGGGCGTGAAGCGCCTCGGAGCCGGCAGCCGACCCGGTGCTTGCTTCCTCCCATCTCCTTCCATCCCTTCCCTCTTGCTCCCCCTCCCTTCTACGCTTCCTCCCCCGCGGCCGCGGCCTTTATTAGGGATTCCGCGGCTGTCGGTCCCGCCATCCATCCTGTCCGCCGGCAATTAGGCGGCCAGACAAAGAGCAGCTTCGGATGGATGAGGGTCCCGGCGGATCGGAAATGTGAAGGGTCAGCGCTGCCGCCCGCGGCGTACCCCGCTCCCCCTTCCGCATAATCACTGGCCGCCCGTCACTCAGCCGGGCGCCAGGGGAGCTCCAGCCCGGGAGAGGGCGGGGCTGGGGCTGCAGCCTAGGCGCCCAGGGCCGGGCGAGGGCAGACCTGCAGCAGGTGCGCCTCCGGCGCGGCGACCGGGAGCGGGACCCGAGGCGCCCGGCGAAGGGAGAGGGAGAGATCTGGGCCTCGGGCGACCTCGAGGGGATTGAGGGCCAGCGGCCTGGGGCCTTCCGATGGGGAAGCCGAGACTGGCTGCGGAAGAGAGGAGGATGTGGCCCAGGGTGCCTCCTGCTGGGAGACTGGGAGAGAAAGCCATAGGGTCTCCAATCCGAGCAAGTGGAGCTAAGCCCAGGACCACCCTCCTTAGGGAAACTAAGGGTCTCTAGTGTAATGCGCCTCCTAATTGGAACAGAATGATGCTTCGCTTTCTAATCCCCGATCTCTTGAATGAAATCCAACCCATCCACATCAAATTAAGAAAAGCTCCAAGTCCGGACGAACCTGAGTGGAGTCTAAAGGAAGTTCAAGGAGTCCAGGTTTTACTGCAGATTCTTTGGCGCTAGCTCCCAGCTGACAAATCAACATCTCAATCTGACAATTAGTGATCGAGGTGGGGGGAGAGAGGGTCTTGCAGCCCCGGCCGCAAAGCCCTCCGGGCGGAAGGCAGAGGTAGGCGGTTCTGGCAGTGATGAACGACTCCAGGGGGGCCCAGGGCCCCGAGCAAGCATTCATTACTCCGCTGACAGGTGGGCGGCGGGCCTGGCGGGATGCGAGTGGACTTGTGTGAGGGGTGACAGGAGGGGGAGTGAGGGAGCATTTAACATTCCCACCTCTGTCTGCTGGGGTTTCTTCACTTCGACCCGGGTAGTTGGCTTCCTTGAACTCAGCCTTCCAGGTGTTGAAGCTTGCCCCGGTTGCTGGATTAGGGAAGGAAGGGTAGGGGGACATAAACTCTCTCCTAAGGTTAAGCAAAACGGTGAGGTGTCAAGAAAGGGTATAGATAGGCTTTAAGATTAGGCTCTTGGGTGTTACCTCAGAGGAATTTTGTGATTGTTCACACAGAGATGATGCCTGTGGCAGGGATTGATAGGTGTGTATCCGTGTTGGGATCATTGACCATGTGCCAGGGATGTGTCAGCCTGATTTTGTCAGCGGATGTGTGAGCTCCGAGTGTCTGAGGATGAGCCACCACCCCTCCCTGAGTGTCAGCCCCCTTCCCAGCTTACTGTCAGTTCTGGAGGAAATGGCAGGGGACACAGTGACAGCTGAGGTATGCTACTGAGGGGTGTGTGATATAAGTTAACTGTGAGAGTGCTGGTCAGGACAACTGCTCCCTCCTACAACCTCCACCATATACCACTACCACCTAATCATCTCACCATTTCTTCCCAAGCAAGTAGTTAATTTCCAGTTGGGAATCTTGGGGTGGGGGAATGATTCCCCAAAGAGTTCTTCATAGCTGAACTTCCACAGTCCCCGGTCTAAGATGTAATCCCCAGGCCTAGTCTCCAGAGAGAAGAGGTAGGTGGTGTTGAAGTCAGGAAGGGAAGGGGCAGAACTTCAGTTCTCCAAGACAGCTCACCTCATTTAGGCCTAGAGTTGCAGCTGCTGGGACCCTGACAGTTTTATGTTGTTAGTTTCTAGGGTAATAATTCCTCCCCCATGCCTCTCTTTCGTCACCCAGCTTTGCCTCCACTCTCCTCCCTCATTCTCAAACCATCAAGAAGTTAAGCCTAGCTATCTTCTCAGTTCTGAATCTCCTGGGCCTGCAGAGCAGAACTGAAACAACTCTAGGTCTCTGACCTTTGTTTTGTTAGCGAGTTTAAGGCACTTTCGCTTTGCTTTGCTCTGAGAGCTAGGTTATAATTGGATTCCCCATACCTTTGTCTCTTCCATCTTTGTGTCTGCATGTTTCCACTTTTACAGATCTTTTAATTTTGTCTCCCTACATTTTGGGGAAGTCTTTGTTCCTCTTGGGGCTCCCCTCTCTGGGAATATGCCCATGGGGATTGTGCCAGAGGGAGCAGGGCTTCTTCCTTCTTGCCCTCATCAATAGGCAATTTCCAACCCAAAGATGGTCAGGCCACTTCAGGGCCTGGCACACCAGGATCTCTTCTCATTCCGGGCACAGGCGCACCTGGTCGATGCCCTGCTGCCCGTCCCCCCTCTAAACGGCCCTCCTCCTGGCCTCCACCCCCTCCCGCCCGCCTGGAAAAGGCAAATTTGACATTTTTAAATCCCGAGCCTTAGAGGGATCGATGCGGCCCGAGGGCCCCGCCCGGGGTCGATATTCCTGATTGGGAAGCGGCTGCTGCGCGGAGCTCGCGTGTAAATCACCCGGACTGGGGGAGGGGGCCCGGGGAGGCTTCCAGGTCCTGGGCACGAGGAGCCAGGCGGGGTCGGGGCCCGGGCGGGACCCGAGGGCGACAGAATAAGAGCAGGCTTTCAAGAACCAGGGAGAAGCCAGCCCTGGGCCTCAGCCCTCCCCCGCCTAGCCCTGCCAACTCCCCGAGCCCGCTCCGGTCTCGCTTCAACGACCGCCACCCTCCATTGCCCCTGGAGCCGCCAGGGAGGTCGGTGTCGGAGGCAGCCATGCGGCGGCTCCTCTCCGGCCGCTCCCGCGGGGCCCAGGCTTCGGCGGCGGCTGTCAAGGAGCCGACAGGCCGGGCCGGCCGGGAAGGGGCGAGTGGCGCGCGAGGCCACGGGGGAGGCTGGAGCAGATCTGGCGCTCAGTGGGCGCGCAACACATGCTGCGGAATTGAGGGACAGCGAGGTGGCCCGGAACACCAAGGAGCGCGGGGCCAGGGGCGAGAGGGCGTGGGTCAGGCAGGAGGCGCTTCAGACCGAGCAGAGGGCTGGCAAAGCTGCAGGTTGAGCCCAGGTATCCAGGTCGGAAAGGCCAGGAGAGAAGGGGAGATCGAGGAAGTTCCGGCCGCAGCTAGACCAGCCTCCGCCCCAGGGCCTTCAGTCCTTGTCGCGCTCTGCTGGGGAAATCGAGGCAGCAGAGGCAGAGAGGGACCAGGAAGACGAAAAGCGGGATCAACCACAAGGCTGAGGAATTCAGAATTCCCACATGGATCTTTATTCTCATCCGGCCGACCCGGGTCCAGTTGCGGGTAAAAACACCAGCGCGCCCCCCACTGCCGTTCAGACCCTCCACCCCCCACCCCGTGCTCAGCTTGTCAGATCCCCCACCTGCCACCCCGCACCAGTTTATAGAACAACAATTTGGGGAAAACAATCCGGGCCGAGTGACGGCCCCGTAATTGTGACAAAGTGAGTGCGGGCGGCTGGAGAGAGCTCCAGGGCGGGAGCGCAGCTGGGCGAGGCGCGGGCAGGGGCGCCTCTCGCCTGCTCGCCGCCCCTAGTTCTCATTCTGATCGCCTCCCATTCCTCTCCTTGACTCTTCTCCAATTGCTCTTCCCCGGCCCCTCGCGCTTCCATTCGCTCGTTCCTCCGTCGCTCTTTCCTCTCCCTAACAGCTCTCCTCCCGCTCCCCACCCCCGCTGCCCCTCCCTCGGGCGCTTTTTCCTCGCTCCTTCGCCCTCTCTCCTCCGCCCTCCACCGTCTTACCTTTGGGTCCCCAGTTCTCCCTGCACAGTTCCTTTCTCTGGCTCCCCAATCCTCGCTGGCATTGATGAGCCCCGAGCCCTTCCACCCGCTCTGCGACGCCAGCGCGGCCCGGCCCGGCCCCCCCGGGTCCCTCCCCGAGCCCGCAGCACTCTGAGCCGCCCTCCTCCGCCGCCGCCGCCGTCCCCGTCCCCATCAGGCTCCCAGCGCGCGGAGCTAGTTTGTTTGTCCAGGGCCGCGGCTGCCGCCCGCGCTGTTTGCCAAGCTTAGCGCGCCGCCGCGCAGTGCGAGCCCAATTAAGTCTCATTCATTATTCAGCGCCCCTCTTGCCCCGCTCGCAGCCCGCCGCTGGGGCGTCGCTCGGAGGCCCCTCCCAGACGAGTGCTCTCACCAGGCCCGACCCGGCCTCGGAGGGAGCCGCGTTTCCTCCGCGGGTCGGGGTAGGGACTGAGGGGCCGAGGGTTTGGGAAGAACTCAGGCGCGCTGCCTACCGCTGGGAGGGCTCACCCCGCCCTTAAATCTAGACTGGGAGATCTGAGAGATCCAAGCCCCTCCTCTGCAGTGGAAGAAATTGAGGCCCCCAAAGCGGCGTGACTTAGCCAAGGTCATGGGGCTGAACCTAGGATTGGAGCCCGGGATAATGGATCCGGGGGCTCTTCAGGCTCAGGTCTAGATATGGAGCACCCTCACTGTAAGGCCCGAGGCAGGGCAGCGAGGGAAGCCAGAGGGGGTCTCTCCCTGCAGCCTGGCCGTGGGTGTCTCTGCCTCAGGAACTGGAAGTAGGACCATCCGTGGCCGAATGGAAGGGCAAGCAAGTGAGGAGAGAGAGACAGTGCAGCCTCCCATTTGTAGGGGTACCAAGAGGAAATCAAAAACTTTTTTTTTAATTTTAGGACCACAGCTGGTAGGCTACCTTGCTCCGGCCAGCAGCCCCCGCGTAGCGATCGACTGGAATGCTGTGTGTGTGCCTGGCCACAGGATGGGTCTAGGACTCGGCCGGGCTCGCCCTTCTGTACTCGGCAGCGCCACCTGGCGGTCACAGTGCTGCGCTGCAGGAGGCGCGCTCACGGGGGCGAGGCGCGGCGCCAGCCCCCAGGGGACTGAGGGAAACCCGCGGGCCCGGAGTGTGGCTGGCTACCTGGGAGCGCGGACGAAAGGGCAGGCCCGGAAGTGATCCTCACCGGGCAGCGAGGGGTTTGGGGAGGGGCCTGGCCCGGAGAGGCCCGCCTTCCGCGACACAGCTGACACAGAGACAAAGTCCACTTGGATGGAAGTGGGAGCTGAGTGCGAGGGGCCATTTTGAGCCCGCGGTTAAAGGACGCGTTCTGGGAGCCCCTGCGCCAGGTACGGCCTCTCTGCCCGGGCCAGCGGGCCTGGCTGGGCTGCTTCCGCTCCACCCAGAGGGCCGAGTGGGCAGGCTCGCGTTGGCCTCTGGTTCTGAGGATTTGTCCAGCCGCTTCGGAGAGGCTTTTCCAAGCTTGCCTCGGAAGCAGAGGGTGGAGTTGTGGGGTGATGAGATCTAAATCAAAGCGTTTTCCAGAAGCCGGGCGTGGTTGCGCACGCCTGTGATCGGGAGGCAGAGGCAGGAGGATCGCTGCGAGTTTGAGGCCAGCCTGGGCTACATAGTGAGTTCATTGCCAGCCTAAACTACATAGCGAGATCTTGTCTCAAAATTTAAAAAAAAAAAAGTTTTCCAGAACGTTTTAAATGGCGAGAATTCAGGACTCCTTTCTAGTTAGACTTGGTGGTAAAATTTACTGGCCTGGAGAGATGGGAAGGCTAGAAACTAGGACCTAAAACCTGGGTCAGGTGACTGAGAGCAGCCATGGAGGAGTTAAGGGGGTGGGGCAAGACTTTTCGAAATGTTTGTGAACCTTGGAAAGGGCGTCCTACGAAGTCCTTCCCTGTCACTCCCGTCATTCCCATCCCCAGGGTCTGAAATGTAAGCTTCTACTTTTTTTTTTTTTGTCCCGGCACCAAGTTATCAGTTTCCCAAATGAAAAATTTTTTTAAATTCTTTCCTAAATCTGAATTTGGTGTAGTTGTAAAGAACAGAACTGAGGTGCTGGAACAAGAGTTTGGGACAGCTAGCAGCACACTTTCAACCACACTCAGGTAGATCTGGACTTAACTTTTATTTAAAGGGAAAATGGTTACTTTGTTGGTACTTGGATATAGTCTTATGATTCTACTTTTTTCCTGTATCTTAGGGTCTGAAGATAACTCGGTGGATATGCTGGCCGTAATTCTCACAGAGGACCCTGAGATTTCTGCACTTTGAGCAATGCCAAGTTCCACTGGACTTGTTCTGAGGCCCCTGCCCTAGACAATGGCTAAGGGGCTCCTGGTGACCTATGTTCTCTGGGCTGTAGGGGGCCCTTTTGGCCTCCACCACCTATACCTGGAAAGGGACAGCCATGCCCTCCTGTGGATGCTTACCCTGGGGGGCTGTGGGCTAGGTTGGCTCTGGGAGTTCTGGAAGCTCCCAAGATTTGTAGCTGAAGCCAACAGAGGCCAGAGGCAGAAGCAGAGCCCAGGAGAGGGAACACCTCCCCTGAGTCCCATTCGCTTTGCAGCTCAGATGATAGTGGGCATCTATTTTGGCCTTGTGGCTCTGATTGGTCTTTCTCCCATGGCCAACTTCTACATTGTAGCCCTTCCACTGTCAGTTGGCTTAGGGGTCTTGCTGGTGGCTGCTGTTGGCAACCAGACCTCAGACTTTAAGAGCACTCTAGGTGTGGCATTCCTTACTTCCCCCATCTTCTACTGCCGCCCCATAGCCATTCTGCCTATCAGTTTGGCTGCCAGCATCACAGCCCAAAAGCATCGCCGCTACAAATCCTCAGCAGAGTCGGAGACTCTCAGTGTGCTACTCTACCGGCTAGGCCTGGCTTACCTTGCTTTCACAGGCCCGCTGGCCTACAGTGCTCTGAGCAACACAGCTGCCACCCTGAAATACATGGCAGAAATCCTTGGCTCCTTCTTGAGTTGGTTCAGCTTCTTTCCCCTGCTTGACTGCCTCATTGAGTCCATCCTCTTTCTGCCTTTTCGGATCTGGTGGCTCATGGTTGGGGATCCTGGCCTCCACAGCAGCTACTTCCAGGAATGGGAGAAGGTCTGTGAGTCTGTTCACAGTTTTCAGGATGAGAAACATCAGCTGGCATACCAGGTATGGCTTTCTTCCCTCTTGTTGCTGCCTGGGACAGCTCTGAGGTTAGGGTGGGCCTTGTTGGAGCTGGTTTCTCCCACGTGGAAGTACTGTTCTCATGTCCACTGGCTGGGTCCAGGAAGTGAGTCTTGGCCTTTATGTACTTCTGGATGCAATGAGTGAAGTACAGAGATGCTGATGGTGAGAGGGAAAAATATATGTGTATGGATATTGAGATAAAACATATATAACATGTACAGTTTTATGTGTTTACTACTCAGACCAAGGCATGAAACATTTCCAGCACTGAGGAGCTTCTTTTATGTTCCTTCCAACCTATATTCCCCTCTGAGGTAACCTCTATTCTGCCTTCTATCACTGTAGATTGTGTGTGTGTGTATGTGTGTGCTTGTATGCTGGATATTAAACTGAGGATCTCACACATGCTAGGAGATTATTGCTGAGTTACATTTCTAGCCCCAGGTTATCACTATAGATTAGTTTTTCCCATTCTTTCTCTTTTTTTCTAGTGTTAGGAATTGAACCCAGGGCCTTGCTCAAGTTTTGTCCATTTTTTTTTTTTTTTTTTTACGGGGGATCGAACTTGGGACCTTGCACTTTCGAGGCAGGCGGTGGAACCCCTGAGCTAAATCCCGGCCCTGTTTGGTAGGTTTTTTGAGACAGGGTCTTGCTATATAATTCAGGCTGGCCTTCAACTCACTATGTAGCCCAAGCTGCCCTCAAACTCATGGTGATCCTCTTGCCTCAGTCTGCCAAGTGCTGGAATTACAGGTGTGCACCAAAATGCCCAGCAATCAGTGTATATTCTTTTGTATCTGTGTCTTTCATTTAACATTGAGGTTTATTCATACTTGCATGCAATTATAAATAGTTTCATTGTTGTATAGTATGCTACTTTAGGACTATGCCACAATTTATTCATCCTGTTAATATTTGGGTTGTTTCTAGTTTGGTACTATTGGCCAAGCATGGCACACGCCTGTAATCCCAGCACTTGGGAGGCTGAGGCAGGAGGATTCCCAAGAGTTCAAGGCCAGCCTGGGCTACATAGTGAGACCTTGTCTCAAAAATAAATAAATAAATTAAATAAAGCATGCAGTAGTGATTAAAGGCAAATTCTGGCCCTTGTGTGAAATCCTGGACTTGTCAAATTTGGAATTCTTGTTTCTTTTTATTCTGGTGCTGGGTATTGCTCATCCTAGGCAAGTGCTCTACCACCGATTTATACCCCTGGCCTAAAAGAATGAGGTGCTGGGCTATTCCAGAGAAATTAATGGCCTGACTTCACAAAAGAGCAAGAAGGGACCCAGGAACCCTGACAACTTGTGAGACTCTAATTTGTTGGTTTCTTTGTTTTTGCTTGTTTTGGGGGGTTTTTTGAGACAAGGTCTCACTGTGAAGTTCAGGCTGGCCTTGAACTCACTATGTAGCCCAGGCTGGCCTCAAACTTCCAGCAATCCTCCTGCCTCAGGCTCCCAAGTGCTGAGATTACAGGCGTACACCAGCGAACTGGCTTAATTTGTTGGCTTCTGTTTCCCCAAGGTTTTGGGCCTTTTGGAGAAGGCAACAAATGAAGAAATACACCGGGCGGGCGTTACAGGAGCTAGTGAAGGTCTGGCATCCTGATCACAACAAGCAGCAGAGAGGAGGCCCAGAGGAATTTCCTGGAGATCCAGGCTGTGTATGAAGTCCTGAGTCAGTGCAGGAAGTCCAGGGGGGCCTGGAGGTGAGAAGTGGCTTCCGCTGGGACGGACTCTTCCCAGCAGAGCTGGGCTGCTCATCCCAAGTGTGACTTGGCCATATGGGGCATCCCAGCACTGTTAAACTGTCTGCTTGTGGTGGAAATGAAGAAAACCCTAAAGGGGTGAGGAAGAGTGTGGTAGAAAATATACTTGTGTTCTGAATTTCTGAATTCTTGACTCTTGCATCCTTGACTATATTTTCTTAAAACCAGAGAGTAAAAGACATACTACAAATAAATACCTTTCAAAGAATACAGCATCTTTTTCTCCTCTGTGGTCCTGGGGATCTAACATTAAGGTACACCCCCAGTCCTCTTTATTTTTTTTTGAGATCAGGTCTTGCTGAGTTGCCTAGGCTAATCTTGAACTTATGATCTTCCTACCTCAGCCTCCTGTATGACTGGGATTACAAATATGTACCACAATCCCTGGCAGAATACATCACATTTTACCCACCCCTGGTACATTAATATGTGATAGAGGAACTTAACTCCCCTCCCCCTCCCTCTCCCCTCCGACAGGCTCTCATTATGCAGTTCAGGCTGCTTTGAATTCACTATGTAGCCCAGGCTGACCTTGAACTTGTGGTGATCCTTCTGCCTCAGCCTCTCAAGTGCTATTTAACTTTTTAAATGCACTTGTATATTCTAGGCAAGCACTCTACCTCTGAACTACATTCCCAGTCCTCAACATTTGTTTTCTTGCTTTTTGAGACGAGGTTTCACTGTATAGCTCAAGCTGTCCTTGAAGTTGCAGTCTTCCTGTCTCAGCCTGTCAGATACTGGGATTGAAGGATTCACTCTATTCTGTAGATTGCCAAGTGGTGAGACTAGGGGTAGATTTCAAAATTTTAGAAAAAAATTTAATTCCATTTACAGGAGAATTTTCTAGCAGCTATACTTTTTTTTCAAGAAGAAACAAGCACCGAGTTCGATCCCCGGTACCAAAAAAAAAAAAGAAGAAGAAACAAGCAGCTGTGGAATAGAGCAGTTTTGTAGGAAGTGCTTAAAACTTACCTAATAGAGCTGGGCATGGTGGCACATGACTGTAATAGCACCACTCTACAGGCTGAGGCAGGAGGATCACCGTGAGTTCAAGGCTAGCCTAGGCTACATAGTGAGTTCAAGGCTAGACTGAACTATGAAGTGAGATCCTGTCTCAAGAAAAAATTGGGCTGGGGATTAGCTCAGTGGTTCAGGTGCCTGCCTCGAAAGCACAAGGTCCTGAGTTTGATCCCCGGTACCAAAAAAACAATTATCCTTGTAGAGAACACCAGCTTACTAGGGTTGAATGTTCTGATGCATCAAGGAGGTAATGTACTGATAATAGGCAGATTAACAGGAAAAAAGATACAAACTTATTAACATGCATGGGGGGAATTGCAGGAGTGTGACCTCAAATAACCTAGTCTTATTCTGTAGTACATGCTGGCCTCAGCTTCCTGAGTGCTGGGATTACAGGCATGCACCACCATAAGCAACAGTTGTTTTCTTCTTTTGCTGGTTAGTCTTTGGGGAAATAAAAGAGCATTATAGAAAACTGTCCTTTCCAGCATTCGCTGTTGTCCAAAGGGTTTTATTTTTTTACTTGTTAACTTTTTTTTCCTGCAGTAATGGGCACTGAACCCAGAGCTTTTGCTCTGAGGTCTATCCCTACCCACCCCCCACCATCACTTTTGTAAAATTTTGATACAGGGTGTCAATAGGTCACTAAGTTGCCCAGGCTAGACTAAAATTACGATCCTCTTGCCTCAGCCTCCCAGAGCACCGGGATTGCAGGCATTACTACCATATTCAGGGTCTTAGTTACTTTTCTTATTGCCGAGACAATACCCAACACCTACAGGATAAGGGAGGAAAGGTTTATTTAGCTCACAGTTTGTAGAGGTTTCAGTCCATAGTTAGCTGGCTACAAGGCAGGGTGGCACGGAAGAGGGGCATGGCAGAGGAGAAAAAACTCATGGTGGACAGAAGGTAGCAAAACAAGCAAGGGACAATCACAGCTCTTTCTATCCCCTGTATCTTATCCAGGCTACTTACGAAGGTGGCACCCACACCCTTAATCCTAGTGCCCTTGAGCCTAGCATTGCACCGTGAATCACTCCCAGTGTCACACACTCTAGATCCAGCCACCTGTGAAAAAGCCCCACCTATGACCACATGAGGCTTTGGGGGACCTCTAGACACAGCCATGACACCCAGATTTCCAAGGTCTTTAATTGAAAATAACCAGCATATCAAGGTGTCGTATTTTAGAGTGAAATTCCCTGGACTCCTCCACTGACATAACTCTACTTTTGGGGGGGGGCACCGGGGATGGAACTCAGGACCTTGCCCTTGAAAGGCAGGCAAAGTGCCACTGAGCTAAATCCCCAGCCCATATAATTCTACTTTTTTTTTTCAGTAATAGGGGTGGAACCCTTTTGCACATTTGCTAAGCATGTGTTCTACCACACAGCTACATCCCCAACTTAATATATACATACATTACCCAAAGCTAACACCCAGAAAAAAGAAAAGTGTAATGGATGCACACACACAAAGAGCAAGAAAATGGTAGTAAAGATGCATAATTTTAACTCATGGTTTTGGTCTCTAGTCCTCCTGAATGCCCAACTGAATCCCCAGCTCTCTACAAATGAAAGAAAAGTTAAAGAAAAGAAAACTTGCTGTCAGGCTTGGTGATTCAAGCCTATAATTCTAGCACTTGGGAGGCTGAGGCAGGAATGTCACTTGAGCCCAGAAATGAAGAGACTAGACTGAGCAACATAGCAAGATTCCTTCCCAAAGAAAAACAAGAAAAAAGAAAAGGAAATGAAAAGAAAAATTGTAGCTATTTCCTTAGTATTCATATATTAAAAATACTTTAAAAAATTTTGCCAAAGAATTTACTTTATGGTGTGATTTCAAAACCAAATTAACTTTTGCACCTTTTTAAATTCGCAAAAACTGATATACATTTTCTTTGAAAACTTTGTCAAATTATCACAGGGAATTTTTTTTTTTTTTGGTACCGGGGATTGAATTCGGGTCCTTGCGCTTGCGCAGCAGGCGGCGAAACCGTTGAGCTAAATCCCCGGCCCAGGAATTTTAATGAAGTATTTTCATAGGCTATGTTGTAGTCAGGGTTTTGGCAAGGGAATACATTAATTACAGGACACATAATTTATAGGATTATTTTATGATAAGTACCCCAAAAGTCAAATGCAAATAGTGCAAGAGATTAACTGCACACTAGAGAGGCCCAAAGAATCTAGCCGAGGGCCTGGATCCCAGCAATGTCCCACAGAAGTCTAGGTAAAGGCTTAGAGTCCAAGGCAGTGTCCTCCACGAGTCCAGCCGGTGGCCAAGAGCCCATGGCAATGTCTCATACTTGTCCGTGTTGAGGATCTGCCCCCAGAAGGCCCAAAGGCCAGTGATGGAAGCCCGAAAACCTATGCCAGTGGGATGAAGGATTTGTGCCACCAAGCTGAAGGATCCACATCGGAGCCAGAAAATGATGCTCACAGTAAAGATCAGAGCTCCCCTGACAAAAACAGCAGCCATTCCCAGCAATAGAGAGGCCCCTGAGCTCCTCCTCCTCCAATGAGAACAGCCTAGTTTGCATCAGGAGACCCATCTGCAGCAGGCTTCTAGAAAATCAACAGCCCAGGATCATCCCCTCCAGTTCTTTTCTTTTTTTTTTTTTTTTTTTGGTACTAGGGATCGAACTCGGGACCTTGCACTTTCGAGGCAGGCGAAGGAACCACTGAGGTAAATCCCCGGCCCTCCAGTTCTTTTTTTGGCCTTCCAGTTCTTGTTTTATGGCTGTTGGTAACAAACCTCAGGTGGGTCTTCCATGCCCAAACACACTGATTCAGTTCAGCTGGGCTTTACAAGTTGACCATTAGTTAATCCACTACAGTACTGATGCTTTTAAAAAAAACACCTACATTCCAATACGTGATAATATGGGGTCAAACAGAATGCATATTTTAAATTTGAGCTAGGGAAATGGTATGATAGTGCATGGCCAAGGCAGGAGGATCATCAGGAATTCCAGGCCAGCCTGAACTACAGAGCGAGACCCTGCCTAAAAAAATAAATAAATACGGCTCCTGCCTCACAAACACAAGGTCCTGAATTCGATCCCTGGTACCAAAATGAAAAAGAAAGAAAGTAAACTTTTCTTTTGTAACTAGCAAGCAGTGTTACCCTTCTGTAAAATTTTTGTGACGATGATGGGGTGAGAATAATATTTAATTACTTTAATTTGTATTTCCCTGACTCCTAGTGAAGTTGAGCATTTTTTTTTCTCACCTTATTTATTTATTTTTTTAATGCCAAGAATTTTTTTCATTAAGTTTATTAGTACATTTTAGGTATACAATACAGTTACATTCATCATTGGGATCTTGTACCTTTACATAATGTATCTTGGTTCTTATTTTTTCCCCCGTTTCCCTGCCCTCCCTTCACCCCCTCCACCCTTCCCTATTTACAAAGACTTTGTTTCCATTGAAGTTGAGCATTTTCAAATGTTTACTGGGCATTTGCATTTCCTCTTCAGTGAATTGCTTAATCATATTCTCTACCTATTTTTATTTATTTATTTTAGACAGGGTCTCACTTTGTAGTTCAGGCTGACCTTGAACTCACTTTGTAGCCCAGGCCAGCCTGGAACTCATGCCAGTCCTCCTGCTTCAGCCTCCCAAGTGCTGGGACTACAGGCATGTGCCACCGAGTCTAGCCCCTATTTTTTATTTATTTATTTATTTATTTATTTGGTACCAGGGATTGAACTGAGGACCTTGCGCTTGCAAGGCAGACGTGTTGCCACTGAGCTAAATCCCCAGCCCTAGCCCCTATTTTTAAACATTGTGTTCCTATTTGTCTCTTTCTAATCTATTTTGTTGATCCTTGCTTGTTAGAAACCTTAACCCATTGTAATAAGTGTTGTAGATAATATTACCCAGCCTAAGACTTATCCTTTGATCTCGAGTATGAGCTTGACAGTCAGAAAGATTGACATTAGGATTTGGATCTGGTCCATGATTTTCTAACTGTGGAGTTTGGGTTTCTTTACCCTCTTAGAGCCTCAGTTTCCTCTAAAACTGAGAT